AACCCGTTACTAGCATGGGGTACCTAATAAAGTGGCCGGTGAGTATACATATTTATGTATGTATATGTGTAGGTAGGTATGTATTTATATGGATATATATATAGCAACATAATTATAAATATTGTAAATTAAATACAAGAATTAAAGGGGTAGGAGTGCATAAGTTTTACTTCTTCCTACTCCTTTTTGCACATGTAATAGAGATATATTTAGGAAAAAAGGGTACCTTGTTTGTTTCTCTCCAATGTTTTTTTTTTTAAACATTGTTTTATTGTTTTTTTTTCATTGCATGTTCGAAATAAATAAAAAAAAAATTAAAAAATTTTGATTTGCAAAGAATTTCACTGAGCGCCCTATAAAGGGTTAAAAGAAAAACAGTTTATAAAGCAGATCACATGTATAATATTGATAAGAAAAGATAATTCATTGACTCCAGATCTTCTGAAGAGGCCAAACACTCACCGCAATCTGCACACAGTCGTCCCCTATAAATTTGGGGATGTATTTGTCTCCGCGGGCCACCTCAGAGCTGTTCAGCGGCCTAAAGCGGCACATCACCTTGATGCTGCACTCCCCGGGGTCCGCCATGATCCTCTGCAACGGACGAAGAAGCCTCACAGAACCGCAGGACCCCGGAAAATTTAAAAAACTACAACTAAAATTTCAGCTGAGTCAATAAAAGGAAAAAAAGATCAGATCTCCTTATGGAATATGGTCCCTCAGCTGCAAGAGACCAGCCTGATCAACCTCTGGAAAGGAACCAGTGTTCCTGAGATGAAAGGTAGTGTCTGGATGTCGGCGAGCGCACTGACTGCGTTATGAAAGAGCCCAGCTGTTAGAGGGCAGAACGAAAGACCCAGAGCACATGTTCTTCTGAGCGAAGAACAATCACATGGCTCCTCAGGCTGCAGAGAGCTCATCTAAGTATGGCTGGATAATAAAAGGTTATTCTAGTCTCTGATCTGTTACATATTGATGTGGTCCGGATAAAAGGAACGAATTCTGCTGAAAAGAAGTGTTTTTAGGGCTCGTTCAATAAATTGGAAGGCTCTGTTAGTGACATGACGAGTGTTTGAATGTTTATTTGGCATTGCAGATTCAGCAGAGGTTGCAAACACATTGAAATCTGTCCTCTTTGTCTAAACTCTGTAGGAAAGTTCATCTCTAGGAGCTACAATAGACCTTCAGAAAAGGTCCTGGAAGAAGCTCATAACACTACAGACCTTCTGCTCCTGCCTTCAGTGGTTTTTACCGATTATTCACGCTCTACAGCATCAGATACATTCCCTTCCTCTCCGAAGGAGATAAGAACATAGTGCAACCCTACAGGAAGTTAGATCACCCTGATATTTACTCAAAATATTGTTGGGCATAACATGCCTGTGCAAATTCTCAGTCATCCGGGTCATGGCTACCAATAAACAGGCTTAAAACTGAGACAACCGGACTTTCATGGTTTTTCTGAAGATGTTTTAACACCTATCTATGAGTTTTGATTAATTCTGTGATCTCAGAGCCATCTGTACTTTGAGGACTGATGTTTTTAAGCAACATGGAGGGCCAAGAACATTCCAAGTCAGATGCAAATCAAAGACACATCCGTTGTTCTTCTGGGTTTGTTAAGGTTGTTGGAGAAAACAGAATGTAGCAACAATAAAGAGCTCCCATAGACCCATAGTTATAGTTCATTTGGGTAATAAACACCAGACTGATGATCTGAAAACTAGTAAAAATCTACAACATATGATATAAAAGCAACACCAAGTTTTCACAGAGGACCTTTCCATTTTTTCATCAACTCCTAAAAGATTTACGTCAAACAGAATTCCCTTTATTCCAACTGGAATGTCTTTCCATCCTCTAGAGTTTCAGCATTTAAATGTCTATATTTAAAAGCAAAACAGCTTTAAGAACTAAGAACACATTTAGTATGAATGGAAACCAGAAAGCCAAAGGCAAAGATATAAACCTCTACTGACCTCTAGTGGCTAAATAGAGAAACTACAAGATATAAACGTAGTTCAACAGAGCAAAAAAGTTTCTACAATTACAGAACCTGTGCTATAAAACTGCTTTTTTGTTGAAAGAAAAGTGCACTTTAATACAGTTAATAGGAACATTAATTAGAAAAGCAGACAACCTTTTCTTTGGAATAAAAACTTTCAGATCAGAGTACTGAAATAAACAGGAAGTGTAACAGGGTTGTCAATTGACCTCTTTTCATTTTCATTTTCATTTTAAATCTTTATACATAAAACAACAAACTGGTTTTCAGAAACTTCACATTGCATTGACTGTTATCTTTATCTGGACTGATTTATTCTTAAATCAAATGATTGATTCAACACATTTAGGCTCAACCACAAATCAAAAAGCAAAAAAAAAAACAGTAAAACAAGAGGGAACAACATAGACCAAGGAAAAAATAATAAAGAAGTTCAAATCACATGGTAGATACATTTAAAATTTAGTTTAACATCATATACTTTGTGTATAACATCAG